TAATGAATGAGATGTGCACCATCTGGGGGATGGTCATGCTGGAGACTCAGACTTGTGGGGGGAGGGGGGAAAATGGGCATTTATTGAAACCTTAAAATCTGTTCCCCCATAATATGCCGAAATAAAAAAAATAAAAATAAAAATAAAAAATAAATTAATTAATTAAATTAAATAAAAAAAGAAAAGACAAAGGAGCACTGACAATATCCCAAAAGGAACTGATTTATTTATAACTGAATATGAAGAAGTTCAAGTCTACGGGCACTTTTGAAAACAGGGAAAATTTTGGCGGTAAGCAATTAAGAGGATCCTGGTAGCTCCATGAGAGCAACAAAATAAACTGTAGGCTAGCTACTTTATCAGAAAGGACTGGAGAAAAAAAAAAACAAACAAATAAGAAGAACTCTCCTGAGGTGAGAACAAACCTCAAAGACTGGCCTCAGTAACTACGTTTACAAAGGGGCTTGACTTAATTGGATCAGACAATAGAGAAACTTATTCCCTATCACGTATTCTAAACAACAGAGAGGTCAGTCAGCAAATAGTGGAGCGTAACCAATGGACATGATACCCATAGAGGCAGACAGCCTAACGAAGAGATCAGAGGGAAAGATAGTCAAAAGGAGCCCAGCCAAAGACACTGCCATCCCAGGACGACTGCGCCATGCCCAGGGCAGGGCCCTCTGTGGACCAACGTATGGGGCTTCATGTTGTGGGGGAAATAAACTTCACTGAAATAGCATAGTCACATTAATAAACAAATAAATTAGCAAACAACAGCAATAAGAAGTCTGGGGGAATCAGTACCCAGATCTGCTATACTATACTACCTAAAATGCCCATACACAGGAAAAAAGGCAAATAACAGAAACTGCCTGTGAGAAGGCTCAGATATTGGAGTTTACAGACAAACACTTCAAAGTAGCCATTATAAAAAGGGTCAAAGAACTAAGGGAAGCCATACTTAGACATGTAAAGGAAGATATGGTGACCATGTCTCATCGAACAGAGAATATCAATAAAGAGAACTTTAAAAAAAAAAATGGAAATTTTAAAGTGGATTAGTACGATAACAGAAATGAAAACTTCATTAGAGTGGCTTGGTGGTTGATGGCAGAGGAAAGAATCAGCTAACTTGAACATAGATCATAGAAGTTATGTAATCTGAAGAACACAGATAAAAATAATGAAAAAAAAAAACAAAAACTTAACAGAGTCTCAGAGAAATGTGAGGCACTATTAAGCACACCAGCATACATTTAAGTAAAAATAATGAACAAAAGAGGCAGAAAGGAACAGAAAAAAACATTAGAAAAAAATAATGGCTGAAATGTGAGGAATGGATATATGGGCTGTTGAGGGAAAACTTACCTTTATGGACTCATAGACCTGGACAGACATTTTGGAGTGAAAACCAAACGCTATGTTGTCTTGAGAACAGTACTCTAAGCCCAGTGTGGTTGATGGGGCAAGCCTTCTGACGTAGCTACCCCTGATATGGGGAAATGTCTCACTTCCTGGAATAAATGATATGAAAAGTAGAATAAAAAAATCAAAAATAGCACTTCAAAAGATAGTATCAAGAACGTGAAAATACGACCTATAGAAAGGGACAAAACATCTACAAATCATACATCTTACAAGGGTTTATTATCTAGATTATGTAACTACCCTTACAACTGAACAATAAAAAGACACATAATCCAATTTAAAAATGGGTAAAGGCCTTGGAAAGACATTTCTTGAAAGCCAAATAAATGGGCAATGGCACATGAAAAGGTGTTCAACATCATTTGTCATTAGAGAAATGCAAATAAAAACCACAGTGAGATACCACTTCACCCCAGTGAAGATGGCTGTAAATTAAAAAAAAAAAAAAAGTGTTACCAGGTTGTAGAGAAGTCGGGACCTTCACACATTGCTAGTGGGAACGTAATTTGGGGCAGTCAGTTTGGAAAATAGTTTGACAGTTCCTCAAAAAGTTAAATACAAAGTTACCATATGACCCAGCAAATCCATTCCTAAGTATATATTCAGAGGAAATGAAAATACACATCCACACAAAAGCTTGAACTAAATGTTCATACCAGCCGTATTTATAATAGCCACATAGTGGAAACAACTCAAATGTTTAACAACTAATATGTGGATAAAGTGGGAAATATCCATATAATAGAATATTATTCAGCTAAGAAAAAAAAAGGAGTGAGGTCCTGACAAATGCCACACATGTAACGAACTTTGAGAATATTATGCAAAGTGAAAGAAGCCAGTGACAAAACATCACAGGTTGTATGAGTCCATTTATATGAAATGTCCAGAACAGGCAAATTATTTTTATTCATGTATTTATTTTGTAGAGACAGGGTCTTGCTATCTTGCCCAGGCTGGTCTCGAGCTCCTGGGCACAACGGTCCTCCCAGGTAGCTGGGACCAGGCGTGTGCCTGGCTGGAATAGGCCAATTTGTACAGACAAAATCAACAGTGACTACTGATGACTGGGCGGGGGGAAGGAATAGGGAGTGACTGCCAATGGGCGTAGATTTCTTTTGGAGGGCGAGAACAACGTTCTGGCATTAGATAGCAATGGACATCACACAAATGTGTGCATTTACTAAAAATTACTGGACTGAATATTTTTAAAGCATGAGTTGTATAGTATGTGAATGCTACCTCAATTTTTAAAAATATTTACCAGCACTTCATGTATAGCAGCAGCTACGTGGTCAGGGCTGCTTTCTAGTTGGATACAGGCGACCTCAAGTAATAAAACAGCTCGTTTCATCCGCCAGATGCCATGTATTGGTTTCCCACTCTTTTTTGTGAGGCTGGTGGGCCAGAAATCAGAGAATGGCGGGGCCTGTAGCAGACAATCATAGCAGTATATAGATGGTCATCGTGTAGAAATGTGGGCTCAGTGCTGCCAGGCTTCCTCGGTTTAAGAGAAGCCAGGTATATGATTTCATTGTGTTTGATTTCCTCCAATTTTTTAAATTTATTTTTTTCAGCATATTATGTGGGTACAAATGTTAAGATTACATATATTGCCCATGCCTCCCCTCCCCACTCAAGTCAGAGCATCAAGTGTGTCTATCCCCCAGTTGGTGTGCATCACACTCATTATGTAGGTATGTACCCATCTCCTCCCCGCCCCACCTGCCCGACACCCCATAGATGTTACTCCTATGTGTCCACTTAGGTGTCGATCAGTTAATACCAATTTGCTGGTGAGTACATGTGGTGCTTATTTTTCCATTCTTGGGATACTTAATAGAATGGGTTCCAGCTCTAGTCAGGAAAATACAAGAAGTGCTATATCACTGTTGTTTCTTAGAGCTGAATAGTACTCCATGGTGTACATATATCACATTTTATTAATCCACTCATGTATTGATGGGCACTTGGGTGTTTCCACATCTTTGCAATTGTGAATTGTGCTGCTATAAACGTTCGAGTGCGGGTGTCTTTTTCATGGAGTGACTTTTGTTCTTTTGGGTAGATGCCCAGCAATGGAATTGTTGGATCAAATGATAGATCCACTTGTATCACTTTAAGGTATCTCCATATTGCTTTCCACAGAGGTTGAACTAGTTTTCAGTCCCACCAGTAATGTAGGAATGTTCCTATCTCTCCACATCCATGCCAACATTTATTGTTTTGGGACTTGTTAATAAAGGCCATTCTCCCTGGAGATAAGTGATATCTCATTATGGTTTAGAATTTGCTTTTCCCCTGATGATGTAGAGATGTTGAGGCATTTTTCCCATATGTTTGTTGGCCATTATTCTTTCTTCTTTGGAAAGTTTCTGTTTCATGTCCTTTGCCCCACTTTTTGAGTAGGGGTTGTTTCATTTTCCTTGCTGATTTTGAGTTCTAAGTAACGATTCTAGTTACAGCTCTTTACTAGGATATGGTAGCTTGCAAAACTTTTCTCCCATTCTTTGGGTTGTCTGTTTACTTTCTTGACAGTTTCTTTGGCTGTGCAAAGCTTTTTAATTTGATCAAGTCCCATTTATTTGTTTTTGTTGATGCTGTGATTGCCCTTGGGGTCTTCTTCATAAATTCTTTGCCTAGGCCAATGTCTAAAGAGTATTCCAATTTTTCCTCCTAGAATTCTAATAGTTTCACCCTAAGGTTCACTCTGTTACCCAGCGTGAGTTGATTTTTGTGAGAGGTGAAAGGTGTGGGTCTGTTTCAGTCTTCTACATGTGGTATCCAGTTTTCCCGCACCATTCTTGAATAAGGATTCTTCCCCCAGTGTATGTTTTTGTCCTGCTTTGTCAAAGAAATTAGAATGCTATATGAGGATGGTTTTATATCTGGGTTCTCTGTTCTGTTCCACTGGTCAGTGTCCCTGTTCTTGTGCAAGTCTCAAGCTGTTTTAATTACTATAGCCTGTAGTATAGTTTGAAGTCAGGTAATTTCATACGTCCCATTTTGTTTTTATTCCCTAGGATTGCTTTTGCTATATGAGGTCTTCTCTGGTTCCATATGAAGTGTAAAATTATTTTTTCTGTATCTGTGAAAAATGATGATGGTATTTTAATAGGGATTGCATTGACTCTGTAGGTCACTTTGGGTAGTATAAGCATTTTAACAATGTTGATTCTGCTGACACATGAGCATAGTATGGTCTTCCACCTGTTTACATCCTCTGTTATTTCCTTCTTCAGTGTTTCATAGTTCTTCCTGTAGAGGTCTTTTACCTCCTTAGTTAAATATATTCCTAGGTACTTTATTTTCTTTGTTGCTATTTTGAAGGGAATTGAGTCTTTGATTTGGTTCTCACTTTAACTGTTGTTGGCATATATGAATGTCCACTTAGGATGCCTCTGATTGATGAATGCCTCTGATTTGTGTGTATTGATTTTGTATCCTGAGACTTTACTGAATTCATTTATCAATTCAAGAAATCTCTTGGTGGAATCCTTGGGGTTTTCTAGGTATAATATCATATCATCAGCAAAGAGTGAGAGTTTGATCTCTTCTGCTCCCATTTGGACACTTAATTCTGCTCTCTTGTCTGATTGCTATAGCAAGGACTTCTAGCACTATGTTGAATAGAAGTGGAGATAGTGGGCAACCTTGCCTTGTTCCAGTTCTAAGTGGGAATGCTTTCAAATTTTCCCCACTCAGTATAATGTTGGCTGTGGGTTTGTCATATATGGCTTGTATCATTTTTAGGTAAGGCCATTCTATGCCTATTTTGTTTAAGTGTTCTTATCCTAAAAGGGTGTTGAATTTTGTCATATGCTTTTTCTGTGTCTATTAAGAGGATCATATGGTCTTTGTTTTTGCTTCTGTTTATATGGTTAATTACATTTATAGATTTGTGTATGTTGAACTATCCCTGTATCCCTGGGATGAAGCCCACTTGGTTGTGATGGAGTATTTTCTTGATAAGCACCTGGATTCAATTAGCTATAATTTTGTTGAGAATTTTTACATCTATATTCATAAGGGATATTGGTCTGTACTTTTATTTTTTTGTTGCATCCTTTCTTGGCTTTGGTATCAGAGTTATGTTGGCTTCATAAAATGTGTTGGGGAGGATTCCATCCTTCTCGATGTTGTGGAATATTTTCTGCAGGATAGGCACCAGATCTTCTTTGTAGGTGTGGTAAAATTCTGGTGTGAAACCATCTGGTCCAGGACTTTCTTTTAGGAAGGTTTTTTATTGCTGTTTCAATTTCAGTACTTGATATTGGTCTGCTCAGGAATTCTATTTCTTCCTGGTTGAGCCTAGGGAGGCTGTGTGTTTCTAAGAATTTGTCCATTTCCTCCACATTTTTCACTTTGTATGCATAAAGTTTTTTGTAGTATTCATGTTATATCTTGTATCTCCATGGTATCTGTTGTAATTTCTCCTCTATTGTTCTTAATGGAGCTTATTAGAGATTTTTCTTTTCTGCTTTTTGTTAGTCTAGCCAAAGGCATGTCAATTTTGTTTATTTTTTTAAAGAACTAACTTTTTGTTTTATTAATCTTCCGTATAGTTTCCCTGTTGTCAATTTCACTTAGTTCTGATTTGATCTTAATGATTTCACTTCTGCTGGGTTTGGGGTTGGTCTGTTCTTCTTTTTCCAGCTCTTTGAGTCGATTCATTAGGTTGTCTATTTGTGATCTTTTCGACTTTTGGATATAGGCATTTATGGAAATAAACTTTCCTCTCAGGCCTGCTTTAGCTGTGTCCCACAGGATTTGATAACTTGTGTCTCCTTTGTCATTTAGTTCAAAGTATCTTTTGATTTCCATCTTGATTTCCTCATTTATGAAGTGATCATTCAGCAGAAAGTTGTTTAGTTTCCACAACTTTGTGTAGAAATGAGAGTTCCTTTTAGGGTTGATTTCTACTTTTATTCCACTATGATCTGAAAAGATACATGGTATAATTTCTATTTCTTTAAATCTTTTGAGACATGCTTTGTGTCCTAGGATATGGTCAATCTTAGATAATGTCTCATGAGCTGATGAGAAGAACATATATTCAGTGGTTTTGGGGTAGAATTTCCTGTAA